AAAGGCAAAACAAGATACCAGATCGAAATTCGCAACTCCACAAATAAGATAACATTTCTGCCAAGAGCCAGATTGGATGAAGAGATTTCTTTTCCTAGTCAGATTGGATCACATTGCACTGCACACAGAGACCGCTTTACGTCTGCGAAAAGTGCGTGTCGAGCAGCGAGCGAGCCAACTTAGGGAAAAGACACGCTTTCAAGCTGCCTCCACTCTTTCTCTTCTTTTTATGTGGCGCGTAGCCCCCATTCTGTGTATGTGTATTTGCCTGGCTCAGCATCCGGTGATGATCGCCTCTCTCTCTCCAGCAGCGGACAAATGCATTCTGCCGGCTCTCGCTATGCTTTTATCGCTTTTATCTCTCGGCCTTTCGCGGAAAATTCGCCTTTGCATGCGCGCAGAGCGAGCACCGGCCGAGCCTCTTCAAGGGAGGAATCGGCGGACCTTTTCAGCCGTCGCCGCCGGGAATTCCTTTTGTCAAAAACTCGGCGCTGCGTGACGATCAATTTTGGACGACAAAGTGCTTTTTAAGCAGGTTCGAAAGTTTCAAGGGCATTATTCCAACCTCCTTGATTCCAACACTGCAATTCCGACATTGCAGATTTCAAAAGCTAAAAAAAATGTTTCCAACGGAAAATTGCAGATTTCAAGAGTTAAAAAGAAAAAAGAAAATTGGAAAATTCGAGATTTAGTAAACAAATTAAATAAATAATTATTTAAAATTAAATTTAACAACAATATTTTAAGTTTTTTGGTTTTTTCTCTTGGCTTCTTTGTCGTTCATGATACGTGCTGATTGATTTTCAATGAATTTGATTATTTTGGTATCCGTTTATTCAAAATATAGAAAAAAAAAATTACAGAGCAATATTTGTGCATACACAATTTCCAAATATTAAAGAAACTAAACAAAAAAATCGTATAAAGTATAGACACCTACAAGTTTGTCTATGTCATATTAATATCCCCATTCCATTTCAATAAAAAATGGAAACTACAAACGGCAAAACATTTAAAATTAAATTATGATTAAACCAAGTCCCAAGCTGGTTATGCTATTTTATTCTGATTTTTACGGAATTAAAAATTAATTTCCATTATATATCCATTCTTTTTCCGAGTATCCATTATGTATCGCCAATGCAGCAGGAAATTAGCTCCAGGGTCCGGTACATATCAGTCAAGGAAGGAACAAACAAGTTATGTATAATTAAATTTTATCGTCCGGCCCTGCTCAGGCTATTGGAGAGGGCATTAGATTATTGGTATACATGGTACTCACAAGGGAAGGACAGACGCTGTAAATAAACAGGGTTTGCGCCGGAATACACCGTTTTTCCGTACCTCAAAGTCACAAAACATGATGAGTGTAGGCGCGGCAACAACGAGAGCGATGTACAGACAAACACACATATGGAGATAAATAGAGAAGGACGAGGGCTTTGTGTATGGCGCGGCGAGACAAAAACACGTCCCAGACAGCGCAAAGGTTCAAAGAGAGAAAGAAAGAAAAGTATTTCCAAGGCTGCAGGAAATTCAATACTACTTTTATTGCGCAACGTCTCCAGGTATTTTGCATCATCTTGAAAAAATAAGGCTCAAACGGGACCATCATCTTTTTCCCTCAGTACCAATTTTTTTCCAGAATCCTGTGAAGTTCGCCCGCGGGTCGATTTTTTTTTCGTGTGGCAATTTTTCCTCTCGTCTTTTGAATGCGAACATAATGAGAGAAAGAGCAAGAGAGGGAAAGTCTCGGCATTGAAATTTTTGTTCATTAAAAGCAGCCATTGATAAAAAAAAACGCTGCTCTCTCTCTCTGGGGTGCGGAGAGCTGCTGCGACACGGCGATGGAGAGAGACGAGCTGAAAAATATGTAATAAATTCGGCTTGCAAATATCGCAGGGGAACCGTAAAAATTCCCCGACACACACAGGAGCTCGTTAGCGTCAATAAAACAGTCATGAGCGTGGTGCATTTTTCGAGGGTCGATTCAAAACTCTCCAGTTGCAACCCGAAATGACATAGTGCAGGAGGTGCATGCATGTGGGGTGAAAAAAAAAAACGCGGGGGTGGACGGGGGAGCGGAGAGTAAAATTAAACCTCGGGGAGCTGCAACGCCGGCAGATCATCCACTTCGAAAGCCAGAGCTTATACAACGAAAATGCTGCACTTGCACTCGAATAGAGAAAACCTGCTGGGACTGATTTCGTTTTAGCTGCTGTCTCGAGATAGGAGGAGGAAGGAGCAGTTAAAAGATTTCTGTTCTCCAGAAAGGACTCAAGTGGAACTATTTTTCTCGCCGAGAGGGCCGAGAGAAAGAAAGGGGAGCAAATCTCTAGGATCCCTCAATATTGGGGAAAACTATATGAAGTATTTTTAACGTGAAAGCAAAAATAATAAAGACAAAGGCCTTTGTATATTTTAGCTATGTAGCTTCAAATTTAATTTTATGTAAACAAATTTAACAAAAATAAAAAAAAGGTAAAAAAATAGTAAACTGTAAAATTTTGAGTCAAATACTATGATTATGCCATTTTAAGTGAATAAATATTTTTATAAAAATATTTTAATTTGATATTCGTAAGATATGTTTCTTTTGATATTTTAAATAAAAAATATATGTTCCTCAAATGCAACATGAATATTTTATTTATGAGGATTGAAGACGGAAAATATTACTAGTAAATAGCATTTAATATAATTTATAACAACAAAATGATGTATAGAAAAGCAATGCCATTTTGCAATTTGAAACAATAAAATATGAAAGAAGGTTATCGTTTGTTTTAACTGTGTTTTGAAAAACATAGGCCTCAGTTTTATTTACTTTGATATATTTTTTTTCCAAAAAAAGCCCCAGGGGTTTACTAACAAAAAAGCGCAGGAAGAGACAAACAGAGTAAAAAAATAAAATACTCCGGAAAATCTAAATCGCAGCCAAATGCCAATCATGAATTTTGAATACGTTGAGCAAACAATGATAATAAAAAAATGCTTTTTAATAATTCGTGCATACTTTTGAGCCGTGTGAATTTCCAAAGCGTGCGTGGTGATGAACATACACGGCCCATAATATGTTATTCCGCGTTGCGTTGGCGGGGCTCAATAATAATTCAGGTGCACATATCCGGCGTTGGCGCGACTGCTGATGAGCTGCTCTGGCTTAATTAATCGGCACTTGGACCGTGAATAATTCACAACAAATGCTGCTCGCTGCCGAAACGGCGCAGGCAATTAAGCCGCGATGAATTTACCGTGGGAGAGCCTAGTGCGTCTCGGAAGTGCACCACGTGGAAGCAGCGTTTGGTAAATTATTTCATCACCCTCGAGAGAGAGAGAGAAGAGCACAAGCTATTGACGAAATGTTGATGGAGTGGGCGAGGGAAGCGAATTCAAAAGGTTTGATAAGGGGTGTGATGACAAATACAGGTTGTTACAGCAGGAAATACAAGGTTACAAAAATAAATACATCATTTATTTGCTGATTTTTGGCATGAAAATAAAAATATTGGCAGCTGATCAACTACAAAATGCATTTTATTCGTCTTCAAAATTACCTTATTGCTGATGTGTGCTAAATTTTTAAAATTTTGAATACAAAATTACTAATAAATAATTATGTGTTTGAATAATTGGAAAGCCTATAAAAAGGAAGTTTTAGTACATTATTTGAAGTACAAAAGTTCTGTTGAAATAGAACAAAATATTAATAAAAAGTTTAAACTTTGACATTTCAAACATTTGAATGATCATCTCAAAATCTTTCAGTTCTAGGATATCCAGCGTAAACTTTTCTTTTATAGTATTCTGAAACTGACAGAATATTTAATTTTGATTGAGTACTTTTGACAGTCTAAATTTGTGCAACACAAAAATTTAAATTATAATAAAAAGTGCCAATTGATATGATCCAATATTTAATTACAGGCTTTATTTTGCTGTGGTAAATACATACAGGAGATTGATCGGCTGGATACAATTATATCGAGTGCAAATACCGGCCAATTATTTGAACTCAAACGAATCATGTTTTAAAGAGAGCACAGCATAAACATCAAAAGCAAAAAAATACACAGGGGAACATGCAAAACCGTGCGAATTTCAATTTTTACGTCAATAAATGCAAACAAACTTTGTGAATTGCGATCCATTCCAAGCGTCGAAGAGCAAATAAAACACTTTCTCGTTGCGGAAAATGAATGTTTATTAAAAGAGTTGCCGCGGAAATTGAGTGAGCGAAATCAATCAAGCGTGGCTGCTGCGGACAACAAGCGAAAATATCACGTAAAAGTTTCACTCACTCTGCTGGCTTTTCCGCAATTATCCGAAACAACGCGAACATTTATTTTCCCTCTGGTATACAACAATTGTTTCACAGCATTATTTCATTAACGGCGGGTGCCGCCGACGGTGTATAATGCCATTAAATCCGCTCGCTCTGAAATAAAACCGCAAAAACCTGCTCTGCTTTTGACGCTGTTAATTAACGGAGCCGGCGATTTATTTCGCTCCCTTGACCGCACCAACAACAGCCCCTCCCTGCACGCGTCTTGGCCCCCTGGGCTCTGTCGGGGGTGGTCCGGATTATGCAGCTGTGTATGTTGTCTTGCGGTTTTGGGTAATGAATTCAGCGACATGTTTGGTTCTGCGATACACACATTTTATCAGGCGCGCGGAGTGGATCAGCCGGGAACGTGCGCGCAGATAATCAAAAGCGATTTGCTCTCAGTTCCATCATAAAATTCAGCCCGAGTGCCGGAATATCAGTGGCAAATTTTGGCGGGGCAAATAAATACGCTCAATATGTGCGCGACCCTAAAACGCATATCAACCGTTTGATGTACGAAAAATGCTCATAAATGGATATCGGATGCAATATTGGATGTTTGGGCATACATTGAAGACTTAAGGAGGTCAGTTTAAAAAGAAAAAGGCGCAGTTTTGCTTCCATGGATATTATTTTTTAATCTTATTTTTTACTTAACAATTATATATTTGTAGCACACAATTTTGGCGTTTATTAAAATCTTTGAAATTTTATTGTATACTTTAAATGACGCATGGTTTGCTTAATATAAAGATAAGTTTTAAGGCATAAAATTTTTTACACGTGCTGCGCTGCAATTAGTTAAAAAATGCGTAGAAAATGTAAAACACAGTATGTATTTTTATTTCTTTATTGAATTTTTTTTTCATTTCTATTTAATTAAATTTCGTTTATTATTTTTTTAACGAGGATTTCTGTAAAGAGAAAGAGAGAAATTTAATAATATTGTGAATCAAAATCAAGGAATTGTAAAAGCAACAATACAAAAATTAAAAATAAAATAGTTATTACACAACAAAAAGAATAGAATAATTATGCAATTTAAACCTTTTTACATTGATTCGCATTGATTAGTTTTTGTGGGTTCTCGTTATGTATACGCCTCAAATGCTCAAAGAGACCATGTGGTCTCAAATATTTATTGCAAATAAAACATTTAGCTTTCCCACTGTGCATAATTTTTAGGTGAAATTTCAACCGAGATGCATTGAAAAACTTTCTTGGGCACATCCGACAACTGAAATTAGATTCAATGCAGCCATGTTCTTCTGCTAAATGGTAAATTATGTAATCTTTATTGAAAAATTTATTGCAGTAAAAACATTGAACTCTACAAACTTAAGAATGCACCATCAAAACGTGCCTTTTCAGATTTGCACGTGATGACAAAAAAATGGAACATATTTTGCATTTGTGTCCTCGATCTTTAAATCTAAGGCCTTTCACCTGCAAGTGGTTACGAATTAAGTGGTACTGCAATGATGATTTCTGTTCAAATACTTTCAAGCAAAATGCACAACTGAATGATATCCCGCATTTCAAATTATGATCTCGCAGCAACCCACGACAGTTAAACTTAATTTTGCAGAATCTGCAAGGTACTATTTGAAAATGCTGGCTGACACTTCCAACTGTAATTCTCTTTTTACAAGAAGGACAGTCCCGATATTGGTGGACATAAGAAATGTGCCTTTTCAAGATTGCATTGCTAATAAATTTAGCAGGACACCGCAAGCACTTAAATGACAATGGAACTAACTTTTGGTGAACTTTGACCTCATGAGACGTAAGAAAATCCCTCCTCTGACTTCGGTAACTACACATAGAGCATTTAAATTTTTTCCTCTCTTCAATGCCTTTGTGTTGAGTCTCCAAATGAATTTTTAGCTCATTTTCTGATTTGAAATATTTTGCACACATATAGGGACACATGAAGGCAACATCAGCGTGTTTTTTTCTAACATGTTGCCATATTCCTTTTCTAGTCAAACCATTTCTTTGACAGTAAATGCAGTTTTGAAGAACTGGCACTTTTGGTTTGAGATGAAACTCTTTGATGTGAAGATCTCTTTCCTCCACAGTTAAAAAGTAACTACGACAGCTTAAATTAAAATTACAACAAATTGCGATTGTCCCATGGTTTTCTTTTATGTGACGATTCTTTTTATATTTACATAAAAAAGATTTTATGCAATAAATGCACTGGAATTTCGTTTTGTCTAAATCATACTCTTTTGGCTCTATTTCGTTGTAATTTTGAAGAGAAGACTCATCAGAAGGCAGTTTTTGCAAGGTCACCCAACACTGCTGAATATTTCCAGCTGATGAAATTAAAGAAATAATTAATATCAGACTTTGAAAAGGAAAAAAAATTTATAAATAGTACCTTTAAAAAGAGCATATGACAATGGTTTGGTATCCTTGGTTTTTTCATCCGGCCACCAGCATGGAATAAGTTCTGATTCAGGGCCATTCAAAGTTTCTCGCAAAAACCTAAAAACAAAAGCGAATTGTGAATGAAAAGCCCGTGAAATTATATTTTTCTCACGAAATTAATTACCTCGCGTCCCAAACGCAGAAGAAGCAAAACAGGTCTTCGTCCTTGACCTCGTCGGCCAAAGTAGTGCCCAAATAGTTCAAACACCACTCGGCCAGCGCCTCCAAATCCAATTCGGCCCCTCGGTAGCCGCCTTCGGCCGCCGGCCGCTCGCAAAGACGGCACAACTCGGGCCGCATCTTCACGCTGTGTTGTTTACTTTTGAGCGCACAGCTGCACTCTGAGCTGTGGCCGTATTCGCATCTCTTGTTCGCATCCGCTCCTTCTTTTCTTTTATTCCGCGCCAGCATTTAGGTAAAGGCGCGAAAGGAACGTGAAGGAATCTCAATTGCCATTGAAGCATTGGGATAAGAAAATCTTTATTTTATTTTTTTGTATTTTATAACAAGACTTTCAATATGGGGGTTTATAAAATAATGATTAACAGTGTGATTTTTTAACAATTATTGAAGATATTAACAACAACAATAATAAATCCAATCCGAATAAATCAATCCTGACGCTGACGATGAGTACCAACAAATTCAATTTTTCCTTGGTTCGAACAGAAATTTGGAGGAAAAAGTTTAGGCTTCTCAGATGAATAAGTAAATAGAACTACGCATCAATTTATTTGAGGAAATTAGATTATTTGAATTGAAATGGAAATATGTTGATTCGACAAATTTTATATAATTATTTCATTAATTTAATTTCATGCCAAGTACTGCATCGTTGATATTATCTATTGTGATCTATTGTTATTGAATTTTCTTAACTTAAAATAGATATGTATGAAGATATTTAAATTTATTCTCCCTGCTAGACGTAAATCACAATCAAGTAAGTATATTTGTCTAGATTAGCTATTATGTCATTTGTATAAAATTCCAATAAACAAAATTCATTTGGTCTGTTTTTTAGCTTCGATCATTATTTGAAAATAATTATTGTATGAATGTTACCTTGCATAATTTATTATTGTTGTTTTTTATTTCAACGCCTCTTGGAAACAGGAAACGCAAAATCAGATAAAATATATTTATTTGTTTAAATCAAAATATAATTTACTTCCTTTGTGGGCCACGTCTCCTTTTTTGTTGTTCCTTGCCAGACGTATTGAGTTTCAGCAAAATCTCAAATTTACAAAGGCTTCCAACGCGCCAAGTAGGAAGAAAGAACGCAAACCCCAATTCCCTCCTGGCATCCCCTTTTATGCGTAAAACATGAATACAAAAACGCAGGAAAAAAAGAGGCATCGACGATCGGCAGGCGGCTGCTCTGCGACACAATGAAATATATTATTTTCATCGACAAACACATGTTTTTTTTCTGCCGATTAGTTCCTTTCAGCGCCAATTTCTCTTCGGAGAGAAAATGGAAAAAGCATATCAGCCTCCCTCTCGGAGGGGCGATAAATAGGAGCAGGACGGAGAAAATAATGCCGCATGTTTTTGTGCAATTCTCTTTCGGCACTTAAAGGCCAGTGACGCATCGCCATTGAGCCGAAGCATTATTTCTCACCAGAAAAGAGACGAATGGCTCTTTGAATGAGGGGGCGCCGCTCCTTTCTCTATTTGAATTATAATAATACAAATATATGAAATATGATGTAGCAAAATCGCGTAAAAACAGACACACAAGCCCGGCTCGTAACTCGAAACAATAACCGTAAAAACGCGCAGAGCAACTGCGCGCGAGGGCGCTCGTCGAGAGAAATAAAATGGCATAAAACGGCCAACGGGTTTTATTTTATACATTTGACGGTCGAGAGCGGCCGTTTCGGGGCTTGCCAAAATGATTCTGTGGGCAAAAAGTCGCCGCCAAGCTGAGGTGTATAAAACGGTGTGGATTTGTTTTATTGCCCAAGCACACACACACACAGCTGCGGTGAAATAATGAAAACTCATTTTCTATTGTTAAAAGAAAGGTCTTAATTGAATATTTTTTATATTTTGCTGCAAGTACCAGCAGACAATTAAATAAAAAATAATTACGGCAAAACCCTTCTTATTGCTTTTGAATTTGTAAGAATTATTATAATATTGCGTGGAAAATTCTGTTTAAAATTTCTCTGAATCAGATTTGTGAATGTTGAGAGAGCTAAAATTTTTATTTTTCATTACAATTATTCAGAATATGTTCAAAATAAAAATATAATAAAATTAAAATATTTAAATCTCTTGTCTGCATTCAATTTTGGAGAAACGCTTTCAAGTTGACTACACTGCTCATGGGGTCTAATTTTAATCTCTGGTTTTCGCTAAATATTTGCTTTTGGTATGCCTTATTGTCCAACAATTTCAATATTATATTTCCCAACCGTATACGTAACAATTGTTTATTCCTCGAATTGAAAATTTCTATTAATTTTCTAATTTTTTTTTTCCATAAGTAAGACTTGTACCTTGAAACAGTCGTTTAAAGATATTATAATTATGTTATCTAATTAATACATCAAATGAAATTTGAAGTGACAAAAAGATTATTATAATTATAATCTATCATTTTTATCTGAAGATTGTTTGGCCAAGTATTTGAAGAGCGTTTGCAGCAGCGTGTTTACTTTTTATTTGCAGTGCATTGTCCTTATGATGAGAATCTTTTGGGCACGTTTTCTTTTTAATTTTGAAATAACAAAAGGGAAGGAAAAAGTGAAAAGAGATTGTGATTTTTTCTGCTTTCTTTTAATTCAAATAATTAACAAAAAGAGCGGTGAAATGCTTTTCTGCTGGCGGCCTAAAATAAAAACCTCGATCTTTTATAATATATTCAAGTAGACACAAAGAAAAAAAATGCATAATTATTTTTTTAAGTGATTAAAAAATTTAGCAATTCACTGCAAACTAAAAACGAGAGAATTGCGAATTTAATTTTTCCTCAAATTTTTTTATTCATTTACATGCAATGCACATTGTGACTTAGCAGGGGGAAAGATGCTATATAACTAGTTCAAAATATTAAAATTATTATAAAAAAATAAAAAATTAAATTGCATTCATTAATTAAAATCTGTCATAATCATTCATTAATAACTAGGTTAAAAGTTCAAAATCTATTTTTGCGGGCCACTTCACATAATTTATATCTCATCCCTACCTGATGGCAAAAATAATCTCGCTCAAATCTCATTTGCTAACCAGAGCTGATCCCGCAGAACAAACTTAATGCGAATTTAATGTCGATTAGTGTGGGGGGACCGTGCTTGTATAGATATGAAATCGGGGCCGCTCATTTCGCATACATAATTCGGCACGGCCACAAGTGGCTAATTAGGCGCCAAAGACGCGGAGCCGCAAACCGCGAACTCTCTTGACATTCCAACATGGTCCGTCTTTTGTAATTAAGTCAAAGCTATAATTCTTTACTATACGATCATGCCATATTATTTTATGGGGCTTTCGTTCTCACCATAAATATAAATTTTGTCGGAGCTGAAAAGACGTGCTGCTTTTTCGTCCGGGGGATTAGCTGGAGAGAGTTAGTTGTTTCTGCGTCTTGTGTTCAAAGGATTAGCACGGCCTGGTGCTGTTGCGCTGGCGTGCATTTGCGCCCCGAAAACACAGACATATAGCGCTGAAAAGGCCATAAAGTGAAGCTTTGCGGCGGCCGCGCCGCTGCAAAAACATAAGCGCGCGCCCTTTATTCGCTTCACTCTCGCTCTTTATGTGTTTTCAGCGGACAAAGGAAAGCAAATAATACGGACGTCTGTCATTCGGGGAAAGAGAGAGACGAGACCAAAATTTATTGGAACAAATCATGCGATCATACCCCTGCAATAATGAGAATTGGTACTTTAAAGGCCTGTGGGAATATCCAACTTCAATGATGGGCTATACTCACGCATATTTTTGTTTCAAAAGTATTCAAACAAACGCTTAGTTTGTGTGTTGACAATTTTAAATAAGAAGCGAGAATGAAAGAAAAAAGTATTTACAATTAATTTTATTAATTAATTTTACTTTTGAATTTGTAAATATTGAGAAATGAACCTGCTGATTTTAGAACTAAAAACTAACTTTACATCAAAATATACGTAACCGTAAATTTACAATATGAAAAATGCTGACTGTTAAGCGACATATTTGGGGATTGATTGAAAAATCATTAAATAATTTTGTATTAAATTGGTCTTTGCAGTAAAATTCCTTATTATCTCATCCATATTGGTTTGTATCAAAATACAATTAATGAAGACTCAAATCTTCAATTTAAAAAATTTCTTTGCATTTGCATGCAGACCCATAGACTCCGATATATTTCATAATGCAATGAACGTAAGTAAGAATATAATTTATATACTACTTTTTTTCAAAATTGACTCTTGGCGTCTTGGCTCTTTCCTTGATTTTACAGTAAAGGAAGAAATTTTGAATAAAAAATGTAGTGGAAGGAATGTGAAATTGAAAGAACACGAAAAGAAGGAAATGAGGAAGATCACAGAAGGAATGCAGCGCGCAGTGTTATATTTTTCACTTTATTTAGTATACGAGACGCGCTGGAGTAAAAATAGGAACGTCGAGCTGCACAAAGATAAATTTCCTCGCCGCTCTGCTCCGCGTGGCCAAAGTCAAAATAAAGAGATTTTACTGCTGCACAGGGGAGGAGAATTCGTCAATATATTACCAATTCACAGAAGAGAGGTGAGCTTTTTTATTTTTAAATTTACTCTGTGCCGAAATGCAGCAGTTTCTTTTACAACACGGGTTGTTGGAGGTTTGTGCATCGGGGGTGGTAAGGAAATTTATGGGCATATCCAGCCCAGCGTTTATTGGATTTGCAATGAAGCAAAGGAGGAAAATGCTGCTATACAGTGGGGTGTGCGTCGAATTTGAATTTCAAATTGGCGATTTGTGCACTTCCACAGAGGCAGTTTTGCACCACACTTAAAGTGCATAAATTTGGATTCCGTTCGTACTTATAACCAGAGAGTGGGAGAATTATTAACGTGTTTAGAGTGAAATATTAAAAAATTACGTAAAAAGAAAATAATTACTTTGGTAAACTGTTTCAAATCTTGAAAACAAGTTCAGCTCTGATAATTTGAGCTTTTTAATATTTTTAAGAAACTGAATATTTATAGCCATGGCACTCTATAAGAATTAATTGAAATTATGAACTTTATGAATTTTAAATTACAAAATATTTCATTAAAATAAAACTAATATTATATCAAAATACTGCAAAATCTTAAATAAATAGCTTTATTTTAATACTTATTATTTATTTTATTCTTCTACAATACTTTTGTACTTATTGAAGTCAAAGTTAATTAAATAACATGGCTTTTCGAAAGTTTTCAACGCAAAAGAGAAAACAATGCCTTAATACAGTTTTATTATTTATTTTTTCTTCTACAATACATTTTGTTCTTGTTGATGTCCTAAAGTTAGTTGAATAACCTGTCTTTTTTCAAAATATTTCATTGCAAAAGAGAAAACATAAATATGCCTTTGGAAAAACAGGATGGATAAGAATCCATGGACCATGAATAATCTTCAGTCTTTTCCCGCTTTTTTCAATAATCAATATTAACGTGTTATTTATAGAGCAGAGTGCATTGAAAGCTATTGTTATTTTTTTACGTCACTGCGTCTGTCTCAATCCTTCGACTTGACTTTCCTCTGTTTCTCATCGCGTTAGAAAGTGAACAGTCTGTCTTAAGTCTGCGGACGATGGCAAGTTTTTTCCCCTTTGGTGCGCTTGTAGTCGCACCCGTTATCGGAGAACCGAATTTTCCCATGCCGGAGAGAGAAAGGTTGCCGGCGTCTCTCTCACCATCTGAAAAGTGAGCCTCTCCGACGCTTTTTTCTTTTATTCCTTTGCAACGCAAAAGCGGTTCTCGTCGTCGTTTTTTATTTAAAACAATAGATTGATTTTCAATTCTCAGTGGCTCTTTGCACGGCTCACGGAGCTCGCCGATATATATTGCGCGTGTGTATTGAGTTTCGAGGCTGCACTCGATTCGAATACAGACCCACACTCATGTCCTCCGAACCAACCAAACACACCGGGACTGTGCACTTTGAGACACCTGGCACCCGGCAGCCGCTTTTCTAATCTAATAAACAAAACTTGATGGGATGCCGAGCCGGAGCGGTGTGTCATTTCAGGAAAAAATATATAACCGGCGGAGGCACCACGTGACAAGAAGTCGAGGTGCAGGCTTTGCTCGCAGGCACGTACCAATCCGCGCAATAAATCACGAGAATGCGATTGCCACCGAGAAAAAGAGGAATGTGAAAGGCGCACCGCGTAAAAAAAAACGAATTGTGAACACCACGAAAAATAAACACACCCTAAAACACTTTTGGATGCACCAGATAAACCTATAAGATGAACGGAACATAATTTAATTATATTGCATTTAGATTTCATATTGTGGTGCCCAATTTTATTTTAAATGTGTTTAAATTTAAAGATTTTATCAGATTTTTATCTAGGTTTGACAATCAAAATTGAACAATGTGGTATTTATTTTATTTATAATTACTATAATTATTCAGTTCTTTTTATCATTTATTTTACTTTTAAATAAAATTTGAAAGTTTATTTTATTATGTTATATAGTCGAGATTAAACAAGCACTTTTTTAATTCATGAGTTAGCTTTTAATTTGGTGTTTCATATGTTGAATTATGATAAATAATTTATAATAATAACTGACTGCAAAATTTAAAAAAAAAAAAATGGAAGATTAATCAATTAAAGAGTCCAGAGCCAATCCAATGTTATTGATTAGAATTCAAAAATAATTTTTTACAATTAATCAGATAATAATTTAGTTATTTATAATGAGAGGGATATTCACATACTACATTATTAACTTAAGAATTTGCTATTTTGCTAACTTAATATCACTTAATATGTGAATATTCCCATATTTAATATCATTCATGGGGGCTTTTTGGTCTCCGATGATTTTTTTTATATGTATATATTAATTTCTTGCCTGTGGTGGTGCCGTTTTATCCAGCAATACCTTTTTAGCAGATTAATAGTTTTCAACAATTGATTTTAAACTATGTGATGTGGCAATTATAGATACAAACAACAACAATAATAATAACAATAATAATTAACTAAAAAATATATAATTAATAATACGTTAAATTAATTTGTGTAATTGCAATGCCTTTTGATGATCTTTACTATATATGTTATGAGAAGCAATATAATGCAAATACCAGGCAAATTTAATAAAAATTGGTGTGAAAGATATATTCCTGGCCTACTAAAAAATAATAGTCTGAATAATCTGAATCCTTGCTTAACTTTTAAAACAAGGAATGGATTGCATAATTTAAACAGAACCGATTACTTTTTAATTAGATAAAAAAAATTTTCCCAATTTTCCTTATTAATCCCCACTGTCCAGATGCTAATATTTATGATGGAAATTTTCGCCCACCTCAGTATAATTTTTTTAAACTTTTCCCTGCCCGGTTCGGATTTTTCCGAGCGTGCAGCAGCCGGAGCGGCTCGTCAAAAGAAGTTTTACATCCTTTTTTCTGGTGCCGCGCCTCCTCTTCTCGCGCAAACTTTCTCTCTGAAAACTCTCTTGAAAAGTTTGTTCAAATTAAGCCCACATAAGAGCACACGCACAGTGGCACAACAAGTATACACTTACTTATTCTTCTCCTCGCCGCGAACGAAAAAAAAACACATTCTCTACTCAGCCGTGAAATTTATTTATTTTTCCCTGCACTTCTAAAAATAAACGAGGAGTTTTCCATTAAGTCAAATTCCATTTTAATTTTAACCGTGTTTGTTCTTGCCGTCGAGTTAATTCCGCTCTGCCGCTTTTGTGTGTAGCGACGAAAAATTCTGCACGAGAATTTTTGAAAAGAGAGCAACGAGAGCGACAAGCGAGCTAGTTACGGGCCGAAAATGAAAAGCGAATTTTTTATGCAAACGAGTTAAAAAGTTGCAGAGAGCAAAACACAGCGCGCAGGACAACTTTTTTTTCCACGGCGGCAGAAAAGTTTTGGACCAATTTATTAAAATATAAGCACGCCTTGACGTGCATGGCAACTCTCGGGCTTTTGGCCATTTTTTTCACGCTGGGGTGATTGCGCGCTTTGATTTCATTAGCAGCTTTGATCTCCAAAACTCAAGTACGAATCTGCGCCTACGGACTGGAAGCGAGTTTTACACCTGGCGGGACGAGGAAACTACATTATTTTTTTTAAAAATTGTCAATATTTTGATCAATAGTACATGCATCTTAAAAATCTGATTATAAAATTTACTAAACCTACTCAAAACTTTATATTTAATAATTTAGCATTTAGCCTTAAAAAAAATCTTGTAAATTCCACGTGGTACAAACACGTTCCTTTCGCGCCTTTACCTAAATGCTGGCGCGGGAAGAAAAGAAGAAGGAGCGGATGCGAACAAGAGATGCGAATAAAAGGCCACAGTCCAGAGTGCAGCTGTGCGGTGTGCGCTAAAAGTAAACAACACAGCGTGAAGATGCGGCCCGAGTTGTGCCGTCTTTGCGAGCGGCCGGCGGCCGAAGGCGGCTACCGAGGGGCCGAATTGGATTTGGAGGCGCTGGCCGAGTGGTGTTTGAACTATTTGGGCTCTACTTTGGCCGACGAGGTCAAGGACGAAGACCTGTTTTGCTTCTTCTGCGTTTGGGACGCGAGGTAATTAATTTCGTGAGAGAAATATAATTTCACGGGCTTTTCATTCACAATTCGCTTTTGTTTTTAGGTTTTTGCGAGAAACTTTGAATGGCCCTGAATCAGAACTTATTCCATGCTGGTGGCCGGATGAAAAAACCAAGGATACCAAAACATTCTCATATGATCTTTTTAAAGGTACTATTTATAAATTTTTTTTCCTTTTCAAAGTCTGATATTAATTATTTCTTTAATTTCATCAGCTGGAAATATTCAGCAGTGTTGGGTGACCTTGCAAAAACTGCCTTCTGATGAGTCTTCTCTTCAAAATTACGAAAGAGAGCCAAAAGAGTATGATTTAGACAAAACGAAATTCCAGTGCATTTATTGCATAAAATCTTTTGCATGCAAATTAAATTTGAAGATGCACATAAAAAGAATGCATGGCACCATCGCAATTCGTTGTAATTTTAATGTACGCTGTTGTAGTTTCTTTTTAACTGTGGTGGAAAGAGATCTTCACATCAAAGAGTTTCATCTCAAACCAAAAGTGCCAGTTTTTCAAAACTGCATTTACTGTCAAAGAAATGGTTTTACTAGAAAAGCAATATGGCAACATGTTAAAAACAAGCACGCTGATGTTGCCTTTATGTGTCCCTATTTGTGTGCAAAATATTTCAAATCAGAAAATGAGCTAAAAATTCATTCAGAGACTCAACACAAAGGCATTGAAGAGAGGAAAAAATTTAAATGCTCTATGTGTAGTTACCAAAGTCGGAGGAGGGATTTACTTATGTCTCATGAGGTCAAAGTTCACCAAAAGTTAGTTCCATTGTTATTTAAGTGCTTGCAGTGTCCTGCTACTTTTATTAGCAATTTAATCTTGAAAAGGCACATTTCTGATCTCCACCAATATCGGGACTGTCCTTCTTGTAAAATGAGAATTACATTTGGAAGTTTCAGCCAGCATTTTCAAATAGTACCTTGCAGATTCTGCAAAATTAAATTTAACTGTCGTGGGTTGCTGAGAGATCATAATTTGAAATGTGGGTTATCATTCAGTTGTGCATTTTGCTTGAAAGTATTTGAATATAAATCATCATTGCAGTACCACTTAATTCGTAACCACTTGCAGGTGAAAGACCTTAGATTTAAAGATCGTGGACACAAATGCAATATATGTTCCAATTATTTGTCATCATCTGAAACTTTGAAAAAGCACATTTTGCAGATGCATTATAGAAAACATGCAGTTCAGTGTTTCCATTGCGATAAAGTCTTTGCAAGAAAAGAGAATTTAATTTTTCATTTAGCCGAAGAACATGACCGCATTGAAACTAATTTCAAATGTCAGTTGTGTCCAAGAAAGTTTTTCAGGCCCTGGCGTTTGAAATGTCATCAACAAAAGGAGCACATTGGAAAAGCAAAATGCTTCATTTGCAATAAATATGTGAGGCCAAATTGCTTGCCTGAGCATTTAAAACTGATACATAACGAAAAACTATCAAAGTTTAACTGTACCCAGAGCAAAACAAAATGAAAAATAAAGTAGGCTCATATTATTATAAATATCGTTGACAAAAATCATTCTGTAGACAAGAGGCTCCTGACATCAACATATTTTGATTGCCAAAAACTTGGTCAGAAAGCCCTATCTTCCAAGACATACTAACTTTAATATAGCTTGTCTTTCTACAGTTTGCCTTGTTTTCAATTTTCAACATTTCTTCATGTACACGTACATCCAACATAGAGGATTGTCTTTTAACATTTTTTCCTCTTATTTGTAATGTACAAAAATTTATGAGTAAATTTTATATCTATATTGCAGCAGAATTACAAAATAAATTCTCATGTAGCTCAACAAGGAATACTTTAAAAATATGAATTCCTCCATAATTGTAAAATTTTAACAAAATGCGAAGTTCCATGTGAATATTTATGCTCTAAAATAAAAATAAATTTTCGTTTTTCTTCAATATTAAACTTCATTTATTTTTTCTACCATTTAACTGCAGCAGACAATTTCGGTTAATTATAGTTGTCTAGTTAAAGTTGAATAATCTAGGTCACCTGCTCATTTTGCCCAATACAAGTTCCATTTTTTTTTTTTTTTTTTATCATTGAATACATAATTGCTTTCCGCGCAGTGCCGTCGCACCTGCACGAGGGCCGAGCCCGATTATCAGCACCTTTGGGCTTTGGGCCCACGTATGGCCCCTCCCGCTGAGCCTTTGTTCTCAAAAGTACAAACAACCCCTGAATCAAAATAACTTGGTGCAAGACAAAACTACAAAGGATACCAAACCCATGTCATGGAACATGTTGAAAGAAACCCCTAAAAATACTACTGATCACGTGTCCTAGTATTGCCCTAATTATTTTAAATTTTAACTACCCACTTTAATTTATAAGGACTATTATAGTCTTGTAACTTTTAATCTTTTAAACGGGATGAGTTGTTGGTTTTTATTGAATGGAGTCGACGGTGGCATTCTGAGTGAGGTCAAGTTAATAATAGGAGGATGAACGAATGCGGAGCTGCTATTGCTATACTATTTAATCCTTTGCATTCATTTCCGGACCGAGTGGTGCGATGCTCCTCTCCAAAGCTCTTTTCAAAAGCAATTTGGCCTCTCGGAAGGGGCCAGCGCGAGTGTATGGATTCGAGAATGGTGACTTGGGTGGCCCCTTCGTCGCGCGAGAGGTATAAAAATCAGAATGGATAAAAGGAGAAGCTATAGCAGGTGACGCCAAGTGGAAATTTATCGCCGTGGCGTTTAATAAAAAGCTGCTTGCATGTAAACGGCGGCGGCGGCGGCAGCAGCAGGTTTTCCTATTGCTGTTGTCGCGAGGGAAACATGCAGAAGCAAGAAGAGAGAATGGAAATTGTCGTGGGAGAAGTAAATAGAAGCTGTAAAAGGAGAAATATTTTATTTGCTTACAGGCAAAATTGCCCTTCAAAGGGTAATTGCTAGACTGGCGAAAAGAGTTTCCTTTTTTTCCAGAAAAGGCGACTTTTTAGGTCTTGAATTTCATTAAAATTAGAGGCAGAAAAAGTTTGACAACAGAAACGTCGCACTAAAAAAATCTAATTTTTAAGGTTGGAATTTCTTTGAGAGTTTCCAAGTATAAAGAAGCAGACAATCTCATTGTTATTGGCAAAAAAACTGAAAGAATCAAATTAATACCTTTGCTTCAAGCTTTTAGTTTCTATTCTCTGCATTATTTTATTTTTATATTTAAAATATTTTAGCCTTGAATCTTTCAAATGTATTATTATTTTCAAAATACTTAACTATCTTAAAATTTTCAATGAATTTTTTTTTAAATGTGGGTAATTTAAAATGCCAAATAGTTCATGAAACATAATTTACCATCAAAATTAATCAAAATATCTCAAAGAAAGCTTTTTCTGATTAAAAATAATTACAATATCAATATATTTGATAATTAAATTGTAGTTGAAATAGCCCTCGGAATTTTTGTGGATATTCACTTCGGGCCATTTTCTCTAGCGAGACACAGAAAGGGCATTTCGGGTTTTGTTTCCGGCCGGACTGCGTTTGCCAAAAGCCTTGCCATTTGTTTAGATTATTGCTTCGTTGGACCCTTGCTGCTTTTGTTCTCGGCTGGACCGACGCCGCCACCGTGATCTATCTTTTCACTGCTCGCAGACTGACCGTCCGGCGGCCGTGCTCAGACTATAGCAGCTTGATAAGCTCACTATCTCCTATTTCTCTGTGTGTTGGCGACCGACAACGCGTGAGTGCCGAACCTCAAAAGCGAATTCGCGCATATAAACACAAATAACGAGAGCCGGTTTTGCCATTACAGCATCACACATACGCCAGTGATACAAGCGAGACAGGAACACTGCCAAGTGCAAAAGCGAATTCTGTGTTAAAATTTAGGGAGTGCCAAACACGGGTTGTGTTGATATTTGGAGGGCACGTAAAAGTCAATTTTCAACTACCAAAATATCCAAAATTGAATTGAAATGTGTTTCGATCAAAGATTGAATAATTCATCCTCATATGTATTTTTTCACTAAATTAATAAAAATAGAAACAAAAAATTCGAGCATACTAACGCTTTTGTTGAAGAGATGCTTCATAAAAAATAACCATAAGAATGAATTAAAGAGGCTCATTAGTTGTGAATTTTTAATTCGCTTTACTTTGAAATTTGTATTAATAAGTCCCTATTAATTGTATTGCGTCATTGAAATTAAGTAAATAATAAATCATTTTTAGGTAATATTCAAAATTTCATCTCAAATTCCGCTTACTAATTAATTCCGCTCAACATAAAAAAAATGTAAAGTTGAACATTTTCGTAAGAATTCGGCTAATTCATGAATATAATTAATCTGCTAATTTTTGAATAATTAGTTGTCGTCTTGATTTTTGTCCACGTTTAAATAAATATATTTTAAAAATATAAAAGTATTTGTTTCTTCAAACCGTTTTTTTCTGATTAAGATCATTTAATTATCAATCCAATTTAATTTCAAGAGTAAACTTCATAAATAAATAAGTAAATGGAACTTACAATTTCTGCATCTTAATGAGAATTTACAATTTGAAGTCTCGTCCTTACCTGAAACAAAATGGAATTAATTATTAAAAATAGTTTAATTGTTGTATATTTATTACACTAATTAACATATAAAAACCTCACTTTCGCAAATGTCGACCGTGTAATCTAAAAAAATCTTTGCCTTTAGTGCATTTATTTCAAAACAATTCGAATTTTTCTCTCCCTTTATATTATACCTTCCTATGATAAAAAGTTTTGAAAACTTGGAAAAAAAACATAAAATAAAAAAAAAGAAAAAACTGCACAATAATTATTATTTAGGATTTATGTAGAGCTAAGAGGAGTTTAATATCACCTGGCGAAAATGAATTTGTTCCTTGCCTCGACTCGGTTTTCACGCACCCTCACATCTCTCTCTATTTCGCTCCTCAGTCTGGCCTTTATTGGCGCGTTTGTTGTTCTCCACGCGGCCTGCCAGAACTCGAGAGAGAAGCCAGTCTTGCCAGTTATTTTCCCTTACGAGACGCGGAGGAATTCATCCCGCGCCTATACCGTATAATATAATACGGCTGCGTGTGTGTTTGTATGTGTGGGATATGCACACATTGAACGGCGGCACGTCACTTTGCTCGTTGGTTCGCCTGCTAGGTATACTGCGCCGCATAACGCGAGAGCGGCAGGCCTCTTTATTGTGTGACTGGTTGCACACCGCCTTCCATTCTGCGCCTTGTGCGTGCGTGTGTGTTTAATATTCATTACGGCCGCTCCACAAAGAGCAACGCGCGCACAGAGTGCGTGCGGCGTATATGCCGAGCTAGGTGTATTTATGTGCGGAATTGCCTTGTTTCTGTTTGTTTCTCGCTGCCGCAATCGAATTGAGAATTCGCAGCTTCCCTCTGTTTTCCGTCTCCATTCTCTGCAGCGCAAAAGCGCCGTTAGAACAAAAGCTTCAGGAGTTCTGAGAGAATCGTTTGTTCTCCGGACCGATTTGTTATTTTCGTTTCAAAGGCCCGTTCCTTTACAAAAGCGTGTATCGGTTCACAAATTTTAATCTAAATTAATGAGATTATTTTTTGATGCGAGATTTTTATATCCAAGCATTCTTGAAAATTTCCTTTTTTTTGCTCAATAATATAAATTAAATGAATTAACTTTTCCGATTTTTTTCAGGAGCACAATTTGAGAGAAAAAAAATGAATCAAAAAGTTTAAAAAAATGCATAAATTACAACGCATTAAGTAATCGTTGTCTGTAATTATTAAATTTTATAAATTGATTTATTTCCTATACAAAATAACTAATAAAATTTATTTATACATGGTAACTTGTAAATCTGCTGGGTTGTCATGAATAAGTTTAAAAATTATTATGAAATAACAATCTCATTAAGCATTTGCATATTTCATTCTGTAATTATTTGAATTCATTTAATTTGTTTTCTGTCGACGTTTACTCTTCTGTCTTAACACATAATGGCGAGAATAATCGAAAAGTTTTTGCAAAGAAATTAGAAGCGACTGCTGCCGCGCTTTGTTAAGAGTCGAGGGGTGTTTCTTTGTCTGAAAACTTTTCAATGGGCGAGCGCGCGCGCGGCTGAAATTTATTTGCACTCTCAAAACGAAAATAAATAAGCACCTATTCAACGCGCGGCTGTTGTTGTTGCCGCGCTTTGGAAAACTTTTCGGGCCCCGCCATGCAAATAGGCAACATAAATTTCCAACTCTTGGAAATTGTTGCCCAGAGAGTCTTGCAGCACAAAAGCGCTGGGGAGTTTCTTATTAAATTGTTTGCGCCGCACCGACAGAAGAATCCGAAATTATACTCGGAACGACGGCAGAGCGCCGAGCATGCTGATGGCTGAGCTAATTGTGCCAAATGAGACTAGAGTACTTTTGTGCTCTAACTTTGCTGTTTATTACATTTTCTTATCAAAATGTCTACTTTAAAATAAAAACATATAAAGCTTTTCAACAGTCAATTGCATACGCAGCTTTCCAAGCTATTTTAAAATATTAATATTTGAAATTAAAGTAAGCGATTGCATGTTCCATGCGTAAAAGAGTGTGGAGGATAGAAAATTTAATCATTTTTACTAAAACGGTTTCTAGTTAAGAAGAGTGAAATATAAATTTTTTAATCTTTCATTAGAAATTACTTTATTAATCTCATTTTCAAATCTATTGGATGCACAAATTAAGCGCTGGCTGCGATGACCTTGACGCCCTCCCAGACCTCAGCAACGGTGGGAGCGATCAGTGATGCAGGAGGATCGAATCCATTGGGACCACCGCCGGGAAGCTCAAACTGGAAGACGAGAGGAATGCCGACGGTGTCGTAAGCGTAGTCGCGGCTCGCTCCGTACGAGAAGTCTAAGCGATTGAGCCAATTTTATTAAAGCAAATGGGATGTATTGAGTGTAGAACTTACAAACAGTGCTGGCGAATGGTCCAACGGTGTATTGGAATCCGTTGACGGCCTGGATGGCGGAGTTGGCGGCCTGGGCAATGTCGTCCTGCAGACATTAAAAATTAGTTTTCATGGACCAAACATTTGAAGCGTATCTTACCAATTGTTGGGCGTTGGCCGGAAGGTCAGTGGTGTATCCGTATGGGTAGGTCAGGAACTAGATTTGAATAATGAGAAGAAATAATTGAATTGAAAAGTAAAGGACTCACGCCTCCGAAGCTGTGGAAGGTGATGAAGGCGGCGAGGTTGGGGGTGGCGGCGAGGAAGTCGGCGAGGGCCTTGCTCTCGGGCTCGGAGTAGGCAGCGGCGCCCGCGAAGGTGTCGGAGCAGGCGTCGGTGGTGCCCTCGGTGCCCCAGCTGATGTCAAAGTTCCTGTTGGGGTCGGTGCCGAGGCAGGTGGAGCCGGCGTTGGGGCTGCGGGTCTTCCTCCAGAAGCGGTCGTCGGTGAACGAGAACGAGTAGCCGTCAGGGTTGGCCACCAGCAGGAAGTACCAGTCGTTGGCGTCGAGCAGGGCCTGGTTGGCCGCCAGGTTCTCGGTCAGCTCGTTCAGGGCGTTGAGCGCGGCCGGCACTCCGAGCCACTCGCGTCCGTGGATGCCAGACTCGACGAAGATGCCCTTCTTGCCGGCGCCGTTGGACAGCTTGACCACCCACAGGGTGCGGCCCTCGGTCGACGAGCCGATGTTCTCCACGGTCACGAGAGACGGGAAAGCGGCGGCCACCTCGTTCACGTAAGCTTCGACCTACGAAAAATGTGTTATTTTGATACCAATGCTAACGTTGAATCTTGAGGCAAACCTCTTCGAAGGTGAGGAACCTGTCCAGGGCGGGGGCGCGACCTTCCTTCTTCTCGGCAACACGCAGCTGCTGCAGCTCGCTCCTTTCGCTCTCAACAATACTGTGTATTTTGAAAAATTATAATTAATTTTAAGGGTTTGAAAGTGATTGAAATTAAATTACACTCCAACGTCTTCAACGATGACCTTGGGGCTCAGGCGCATCCTGTTGAGGGTGGTGCTGGCGAGGGCAAAGTTTTCGGGCGAGACCATGATGGAAGCGGCGCGTCCAGGTGCGGGGTTGATGGTGAAGTAAAACTCGGGCCTGTTCATCAAGGGCGCCAGGCGAGCAGTCTCCTCATGGCTGAGAACTTTGGTCTGCAGCACTTGGTATCTAATTTTTTAAATTTTTTATTGTACAAGAAATAAAACATTTTTATCACAATATTTAAGAAATTATTAACAAATTTAATTTTTCGGCACTTGATATCTGATTTTTTTATTTTAAATATTGTGAGGTCTAAAACCATTTCAATAATTTAAATAAAAATCAAATTTTTGAAATATTTCTCACAAAGAAATTACTGAATATTTTGTAATTGTTGAATGCATATGAAATAAATTATGCATTTGTGCATAATAAATGCCTGGGTATAAAGAAATTTTGCTAGTAGAAAGTAAGAAATTCAAATTTTACCCAGAGTAGGATTTGTAGGCGAGGGCAGAGCCCGCGAGGGCAAGCAGAAGGCACAGTGCGGCTTTCATGGTGATGGAACTGACGAATTGTCACGGTCGTGCCTCCAGTTTATATAGCTTGGGATTTGTTTGATAAGACGCGCGAAACGAGTGATTTTTATCTGACGCACCACGCACCGAGGGTCTGCTGCTCACCTGAGGCCGACTTTTGCCCTCCACGCGCAGAGCTGTGTGGTCATTTTAAGAGGCTCGAATTTTTTATACTTGAATTTTGAGTTGTACATGATAAAATATTGTAATCAGAAAGCAAACTTATAATTCGTGACTTTAAATGGTGCAGATGAGGGCAAGTGATAAAGGCTTGAATATCACTGGTCGCTGAGAATGCGTTCCGCGTGGTCGTGCCAAGAGAAAAGCGTGATTTGAGCGTGTCTTTGTCTGATAATAAATTTAAATTAAGTATGCCAGGCCCCCCAAGGAAACAGATCTATGCATGCTTGGGTAGCTTTTAATTATTAGTATTTGCCTAACCGTCCAACTATTGGTATGAATCTTTACCATACAACACAACAGATTCAAGGTGCTACAAATTTACCCTTCATAGCATAAGTAATTTATTGATTAAATTTCATACCACATTTCAAAATTTTAAATATTTACTGCTACTGCAATGCTGCAATTTTATTATATAATGCATATTTTTTAAATCCACCTTAATTAAGTGATAAATTCCTCATCATTGTGCGTACGCAAAATTATTTTGTTTTTGAACAGAAAAAATGTATATTACGATTTCTAAAATATATATAATTTTGGAATTAAATGTATGAAAAATTATTTCAATTTTTGATAAACTATTATTATTTATTTATAATGCAAATAATTATAAAAATTCTAGTTTAACAAGAAACTTATGTGGTTAGATATATTATTCATAAAATTTGGTAGATTGGGAAAAAAAATTTAAGCACCTCAAATTGCGCAATGAACATTTGATTGTGAAATTGCACTTAATTTTTAATTAAAAACCGTGCATGCATATCAGGCAAATCACTTATCAATCCATAATTTACTCGATGCATCGTCTGGCAGTAGAATTTGTATCAATATTCACACCACATTGATTACTTTTTGGTTACAAAGTCACGCGCTGAATTATAGCGAAAATGTAGATAAACAATAAAAAATCAAGCGAGGGGACCGTCGCCACTTGTAATTATTGATAAGCGCCCACAGACAGGTCTGCTCAGCGCGTGGAGGGCAAAAGTCGGCCTCAGGTGAGCAGCAGACCCTCGGTGCGTGGTGCGTCAGATAAAAATCACTCGTTTCGCGCGTCTTATCAAACAAATCCCGAGCTATATAAACTGGAGGCACGACCGTGACAATTTGTCAGTTCCACCATGAAAGCCGCCCTGTGCCTTCTGCTTGCCCTCGCGGGCTCTGCCCTCGCCTACAAATCCTACTCTGGGTATAAAATTTGAATTTCTTACTTTCTACTAGCAAAATTTCTTTACTCCGAGGCATTTGTTATGCACAAACATAATGTATTTCATATGCATTCAATAATTACAAAAAATTCAGTAATTTCGTTGTGAGAAATATTTCAAAATTTGTTATCAATTTAAATTAATGAAAAGTTTTTAGACTTCAAAATATTTAAAATAAAAAAAATCAGATACCAAGTGCTGCAAAATTATAAAATTTTCTAAAATTTCTCAAATATTGAGATAAAAATGTTTTTTTTTTTATTTTAAAAAATTTAAAAAATCAGATACCAAGTGCTGCAGACCAAAGTCCTCAGCCATGAGGAGACTGCTCGCCTGGCGCCCTTGATGAGCAGGCCCGAGTTTTACTTCACCGTCAACCCCGCACCTGGACGCGCCGCTTCCATCATGGTCTCGCCCGAAAACTTTGCCCTCGCCAGCACCACCCTCAACAGGATGCGCCTGAGCCCCAAGGTCATCGTTGAAGACGTTGGAGTGTAATTTATTTTTAATCACTTTCAAACCCCGAAAATTAATTGTAATTATTCAAAATGCACAGTATTGTTGAGAGCGAAAGGAGCGAGCTGCAGCAGCTGCGTGTTGCCGAGAAGAAGGAAGGTCGCGCCCCCGCCCTGGACAGGTTCCTCACCTTCGAAGAGGTTTGCCTCAAGATTCAACGTTAGCATTGGTATCAAAATAACACATTTTTCGTAGGTCGAAGCTTACGTGAACGAGGTGGCCGCCGCTTTCCCGTCTCTCGTGACCGTGGAGAACATCGGCTCGTCGACCGAGGGCCGCACCCTGTGGGTGGTCAAGCTGTCCAACGGCGCCGGCAAGAAGGGCATCTTCGTCGAGTCTGGCATCCACGGACGCGAGTGGCTCGGAGTGCCGGCCGCGCTCAACGCCCTGAACGAGCTGACCGAGAACCTGGCGGCCAACCAGGCCCTGCTCGACGCCAACGACTGGTACTTCCTGCTGGTGGCCAACCCTGACGGCTACTCGTTCTCGTTCACCGACGACCGCTTCTGGAGGAAGACCCGCAGCCCCAACGCCGGCTCCACCTGCCTCGGCACCGACCCCAACAGGAACTTTGACATCAGCTGGGGCACCGAGGGCACCACCGACGCCTGCTCCGACACCTTCGCGGGCGCCGCTGCCTACTCCGAGCCCGAGAGCAAGGCCCTCGCCGACTTCCTCGCCGCCACCCCCAACCTCGCCGCCTTCATCACCTTCCACAGCTTCGGAGGCGTGAGTCCTTTACTTTTCAATTCAATTATTTCTTCTCATTATTCAAATCTAGTTCCTGACCTACCCATACGGATACACCACTGACCTTCCGGCCAACGCCCAACAATTGGTAAGATACGCTTCAAATGTTTGGTCCATGAAAACTAATTTTTAATGTCTGCAGGACGACATTGCCCAGGCCGCCAACTCCGCCATCCAGGCCGTCAACGGATTCCAATACACCGTTGGACCATTCGCCAGCACTGTTTGTAAGTTCTACACTCAATACATCCCATTTGCTTTAATAAAATTGGCTCAATCGCTTAGACTTCTCGTACGGAGCGAGCCGCGACTACGCTTACGACACCGTCGGCATTCCTCTCGTCTTCCAGTTTGAGCTTCCCGGCGGTGGTCCCAATGGATTCGATCCTCCTGCATCACTCATCGCTCCCACCGTTGCTGAGGTCTGGGAGGGCGTCAAGGTCATCGCAGCCAGCGCTTAATTTGTGCATCCAATAGATTTGAAAATGAGATTAATAAACTTTTAAAAGTCATCTAACATCAATTTCTTGTCTTTATTTGTTTCTCCGTCAAACTAATTGATAGTGCCTATTCAAATGAAAAAATGTTTTAAAATTACAATAAATTTGTGCAAGTTTCTGTTTAATCTGTTACATCAATTAGATTAGTTTAGATTACATCAATATTTATTGCATCAGACATAAATCGTACATCTCCAATTTGTCTTTACAACAAGTCAATAAAAATGGCAATAAAAATCACATCACAAATATTTCTAAATAATATTCAGTCTTTGAAAATGACTCAACGATTAATTTTCTATAGTGAGTATTATTTTATATAATTATTTAGAAGAATTTCAAGATTTTTTTAATGAAATAGAGTATAATCATGTGTCTTTGGTGGCAACTTTTTATCAACATTTAGCACAATCAAGATGAAAATATTTTTCTTTCCATTTCAACTCCAAATTTTTTTACTCGCTTTATATTGATCTCGTATTGCCCTTTTAGAAGAGCGCTGTGACAATTTGTGAATATTTACCTTTGTGGACATTTTTGGAACAAGGAAAGAATGGATGTTAAAGGTGAGTGCGCTCTGTTTGGGCAAAGATTTATTTCGGGCCGAATCAATAAACAAGGCGGTCGCCGCCGGATGCACTCTGCTCTCCCTCTTGGGGTCAAGCGCCTTGTTTACGTCTCAAATTCTTTTGTGGACCCACGGCATTCCGGGACGAGTGCAGCAGAAAAGCAGCGTGATAAATAATGCAAATTCAATTTCATCCGTGCCGCGTAAATTGTCAACCTGGCACCATATTTTTTCGGCCGGGCGTTTACGCAATGGAAACGCACACCAGCACACACATGCATAATACAATGATTGGCCACTCTGACTTTAATTAAAGGAGAGCAATTTGATTTTTTTCTAGCTGTGTAAAGCGGAAAAGCAATTTCGTTTGAAATAAAGCTCGTCACTTAAAATCTAATTTATGTGCGGCCAAATTCAATTACGGATGGAAATTGGTGGAAATTCGCAACACACAGCTGGGCGAAGAAAAAGAACTCGGGAATTCGAAGCACGCAGAGTGAGTGCGACCCTTTCGCAAAACGTGGGTGTATTTTGCACGCTGGCCAAATTTGTGGCTCGTGAATGCTTTTAATTGAAAAAAAGAAAAAAAAATATATATCTAACTTATGGTTAATGATAAAAATAAAAGTTTATTTAAGGTTAGATTTTATTCTTGAGACCGTTTTAAGACTATTATTAAATTATAAAAACAGTTCAATATTGGAAATTTTTTACATTCCAATTTAATTAATTCACGGTGAATTAAATATAAAGTCAGCTTTTCCTCAATAATACAACTCACAAAACCCATCGAGGAAAAGCTGACTTTAAATTCAAATCACCAAGAAATAGTTTAATATCCTCTATTTTGCGATTTTTTTAATCAAAAACGTCCCTCCTTATTTATTTATTTTTTTAATTTAAACATACAGATTTCAATAAAAAGTTTAACAAAAAATACACCCCCTTATTTGAGATTATGTTGTCAAAAATCACTAGAAAAAATTTTGTAGCCGGGTTTTGAGATGTGTTTGCAAAATTTGCCAATTCAAGATTGAATAGAAACTTACAGGTGCCAGTTAGTGCAAATTGATTCAAATTACAAGCTTTTTTGTAATTTTATACATGCACATAGTTAACTTGTTTTCTTCCATTACAAAAAAAAAATTACATTGATATTCACCTAAATTCGAAAAAAATTGTACAAAAAATGGAAAGGGAGAATGACGTATGTGTACTAACTTTTTAGGATATAATTGCGAGGAGAAAGGCAAATTCGACGAGAGAAATGACACGTGGGAAGCATCTTTTCCGTGGAAAAGAATTCAAGGCGGCTTCAAACTTGGGCAAACTATGCTGAGGTGCTGTAGCAACCCTTTTGCTTTTCTGCCTGGGCAAAGAAAGGACGGGCAGAGAGGCAGGCGCAGGCAGGTATTCTGTTACACAAAATAAAAGAAGCGCGGTGGCGGAAAGGTGAGCACACGCGTGTTTGTGCGCCGAATATCAAGTAGATCACAAGGCGAGCCGAGGAGCATTTTTATTAACCTGCATAATACGAGCGAGAGAGAAAAGCCAACCGATGGGAAAATTCTTCCAGCGGATACGCGTCGAATTCTTATCATGCTGTCTTTTTTTCTTTCTCCGAATGTATGCGGAATGAGAGCAAAGGAAAGAGACGTAAAATATATGTATGTGTCACGCCGAGCCGGAAAATCAACAGGAAAATTCAAAAGCCACTGCCGGCGATTTGCGTCATTGGTGGCAAAAAATGATCACCAACGGACAATAAAACAAACATAGCCTAGCTCCGCTGGGTAGAAAAAAATTACATCGCAACGAGTTGTGGACGACTCAATCAATAATGTAGGAAAAGCGGCTTTTGTCTCCGTTTGAAAATAGTTAGCGCTTTTAAAACTAGGATGTTATTTTATAGAAAAAATCTCCATTGAGAAGCACGTTAACAAAATATAATTACTTTTCTAGAAGGTTATGATATTTCAAAGTTTATGAAAAAATATTTAAGGAGAATAATATATGAACATTCAATATTCCGCACAGTTATATCCTTTTGTTGGCAGTTTCAAATCAATCATTTAAATATTAAACATTTCAACTTTTTTTATCGAATATAATAAAATTGTTTTAAGAATGTCCTTAATAATTAATTTTAATTTTGTTGTAAGATTCAAATGAATGAATGATATGTGTGGGCAGAGATTTTTTCTGATATTTGATAATAACCAAATTCAGGCTTTCTGCTAACTGTATAACAGGAAAAAATAAATTCGTGTGCACAGAATTTAACCAGAAAGAGCCGGATATATTTTAGATGGTTTTACAATTCTCGGAACGGAAATACGATCAAAAGCAATTGGGGATGCTCTGTGTCTGATTGGCATGTGTAACTTCTTTGGGCTCTGACATTTTTTCAATATTTATTTCCCTCTTTTTATTATATATTGAAATATTGATCATTGGCTTTCAGGAATCAAAGAATTACCAATGTTCAAGGAAACTGTTAACTACTTTTCTGTTATTAATTTTCAATTGTTTTGCTATTATAAGAATTTTAAAAAATATACAGACTCCCTCCATTCAAATAATGAGTTTCAAAATAAGTGAACAAATTCGAATCTTATTTTCAAATTACCATCACTAATTATTTGACGTTAAAAATAAATTTCATAGGAGAAATTTTGAAATTCTATTTTTCAGGATTACGACGAACTAAAAAATAGCTTATAAAATTTTGATATAGGAATAAAAAAAGTATGCATTTTCACAATAGAAAAAATGAATTAACTGCATAAAAGAAGATCTTGCTAAAAAGTAATTTGATCTGAACCAAATTGAAATTGGATTCTTCAAATAAATTATCTTATCAACCGCGTTTTATCTCGCGTTGCACAAACAATATTCGCATTTTACGTCTCACCTTGACGCCCAGCCCGCTTATCTGCCGATCAAATCAACCCCGACCAGATGTTCGAAATTAAACCCGGCGGTGCTGGACAGCTACATCAATATTTGCACTCGGCGCTCTCTCTCTTGCAAACGAATTGGACTCCGGCAGCAGAACTAAACACTGCCAGAGTGCACAAGTATAGAGGAATGCAATTAGCGCAATTAATCCTTCTCTTATGTGCCGACACGCGCGCTCTCGCGTAGATCACAGGCCGTAATTGAGAGCAAGTGCCGCCCGCGTCCACAGTGTATATTGATAAATTTTCTGTGAACCGACACACACACAACGTTCGGTTTAATTCAGTTGCGCTCTCTGCACAAAGACCAATACGAACGTAACCCTCTCATATCAAACCGAATTCATAATGTGGGTCGCTCGACCACAAAACGCGCCCTCAAACGCCGGTCGAACGAGAATGAACCCCGGTTTCTATTGTACAAAACGTGCATACTCGGAATCTGCTATTAAAAAGGCATATTAAATGGAAACTTGTTGTTTTGTCGACGCTGGCAAAGTGACTTTTCAGTAACGTTGATTTGGCTTATTGGTCCCACTTAACATTACGAATATTTAATGTTGGATGCCACGATAAGCATTTTAAGCAAATTAATTACTTAAAAATAATTTTCAGGTACATTTCAGTCTACAATATACATAGGAGAATTAAATTTTAAATTAACTTCTGACTTAATTATGAATTTGACTTGAACATTGATATTCCTGTAAGATAAACAAGTTTTTAAATTTCTTATCTTCAAAAAAATTAAACAGAAAAATGAATGAATTATTGATTATTTTTGGCATTTTACTTATGTAGAATAGACAAACAATAAATGATATTATTATCTCCAAAGCTAAGAAAGCTCAGAATTTATTTCTAAGCTAAGTAAGTTTATTTTCTGTCGAAGATTATAATTATATTTGACTGTCTAATTTTTTTTTAAATTAGAAAAAAATATTTAAAATTAAAATTTTTCTTCCTGAAAAGCCTGATTGAATTACTCAATAATATTGCTAGAATTTCAAAAATCCAATTCTCAGATTTTCTATATAAACATAAACATTAACAATGGATCTATGTCTGCTTGCAAAATTCATTATTACATTCTGCCATGCTCATTTCGCGCTTTTCGACTTCAAATAAGGCTATCGAGGTTGATTCCTGATAGCTTTGAAGGCGCCACGGAACATCGGACCAGCTGCTTGATTGCCATTCCAACCAAAAGTCACGCCAGACTGCATGTCGCCGAAACATGTGCGCCGAGTTTTGCCGATTTTGCGACCGCCCAGGGGCTGAAGGTGGCTACCGTGCGTCGGAACTGGACGTGGAAAAGCTGGAAAAGTGGTTTTCGGTTAATTTGGACATCAAATTTGCTGACAAGATCCAGGACGACGACTTTTTCTGTTACTTCTGCGTTTGGGACGCCAGGTATAAAATTTTTCACTGCCGTAATTTGTATGTTATATTTGATTAATTTTTTCTTTTGCAACTTAAAATTTCAAATTGACTCTTAAATAACCGGAATTATTTAAAAATTTTAACACCAATATTTTTTTTTAAGGTTCGTCCATGAAAATAAGGTAAATGGAGCCGCAGTTGCTACGTCGGATGACCTCTGCTGGTGGCCAGATTTGGTGCCGGATAATGCTAGAACCCTGTTTAATAGCTACAAGGGTTAGTATTTTATTAATTTATGCAATTTATATATGTAGTTTTTTATTTCAATAGCGATTTTAAATCAATTTTATTTCCAGCTGGAGAGGTCCTGCCCTGTTCGGTGTCTTTGGATGCGGAAGAAATTAATCTTTGGCTATCAGGTGGAAAGAAAAAGAATGGCCCTGACCAGAAGCAAGCGCAAAATTCGAGTTTTGAGTGCGTCTATTGCAACAAAAGCTTTAATCAGAAAGGCTACGTGGCTCAGCACGTTTTCAAAATTCACCCAGATATAGCTTTAAGGTGTGATTACAAAAAGAGTTGCACTAGTTTCTTCAAAAGTTTGAAGGAAAAAGATGATCACATAAGAAAATTTCACTTGACCCCAAAGGTTGAACCTTTTCTTGTTTGCATTTACTGTGAGAAGCGCAACTTAACCCCTATAAAATTCGCTCTTCACATGAGAAAAGTGCATTCTGACATTTCTATTAGATGTAAAAATAGAAGATGTGTTAGTTATTTCAAAACTCAAGCTGACTTTGACAAACATTGGGCCAAAGAACACAAAAACTTGCAAGAGATAAAAAAATTCAAGTGCTCAATGTGCAAATATGAATCTAGTAATAATGCCCATCTGGCTCATCATGAGGCTACAAAGCACCTGAAGACGGAGGAGTCTTTCCAGTGCCCACAATGTTTCATTTTTCTAGTGAGCAAAGTAGCCTTAAAAGAGCATCTTGATCTGAAACACAGGTTTAGAGTTTGCCCTGCGTGCCAAATACTCGTTCCGATGAAATCATTTGACTGTCATTTCACCTTAGTTTGGTGTTGGAAGTGCAAAACTGAGAGTTTTTGTCGTGGTTTGAACAGACAGCACTTGAGGACGTGCAAAGGACAGCCACTCACATGTGATTTTTGTGGTCAAATTTTCACAATGAAGACGGCTTTGCAATGCCACATTAGCAAAATGCATTTGAGCGTCAACTACAGCAATTTCCTGCTATCTCAATATTTTCCTCTAAAGAATGAAACAGCTTGAAATTATAGAAGTGATATGTGAAAATTATTATGACTGTAGTTCTAAAAAACTGTCGACTTGAGGAAACAGAGGGTTTTCATCTAAAAGTGAAATTATACTTAATAAAATTGTTTCTAAAATCATTTTAGAACTTAAATAAATAAATCAAAATCGCATGAATTAAAAAAAAGAAGCATTTCATTTCAAAATTCTCAGTATGAGATTTGGAATCAAATTAATTAATATTAATTATTAATTAAATATTAATGTATGTAAGATGTATATGGGTGTTATTAGTGGCTAAAGATATATAAATAAAGTAAACAATAAAAATAAAATCATCGCTTTCAAAATATTGAATTTTAAAATGAAACAGCGAAGCAGTAGGGAAAAATTCTCTAGACCTCTTTGTTTCTAGCAAAAACAAAATCAATTTATTTTTAGCTTTAGTGTCCAAAACCACAAAAATTCAAAGGGGCCTGCTCCGGCGCCGCGTGCAGATTTAAAAACCTGCAGCCCAAAAATATGAAAACCTCAGCAGCCTATTAGATTTTTTGAGGCGGAAAAGAAAAAAAACGCACCACACGCGCGCACGCACGGTTACTTGGACAAACAAGCGCTTTGATCTCTTTCGGAATTAATATTGAGCAGAGGCCGCGCCGAACCGCAGCGCTCTCTGCTTTGCTTCACATATGCAAGGGTGTATAAAAAGGCTGCATACGCAATAAACTGCCGCCGCGACTACACATGGCTGGTGTACACGCTCGGCGCGCACATTCACCAAAAGCAAACATCGCGAATTTCCACCGAGGCTGCTTTTGGATTCAATCGTCTGCGCGTTTCTCGAGGCAAATGAACGCAAATAACGAGAAAGCAGAAAAAAAATGACGTAAGGCCTGCAGCGACCTGCTTTTTCCCTCTTGTCAAAGTAAATGCACGCGGAATTAAAATAGTCGGGAGAGCAGCAACTTTATTGGAAACTAATGCGACGGCCTTGCGGAAAAGGGGATTACGTGCATTATATGTGCGCACGTTATAGGGAAGAGAAATCACCGAGAGACTCTTCTATTATATATAAATGCAATTCGATGGAATATTATACAAATGGACCTGGGATTTGCTTGCGTTTAGTTGAGGATGAAATTTTCATCTGGAAAATGAAATGCAAAAAGTTGGGTTACTACTGAAGCTGAAAATATGTATACACGGGAAAAGCGTGGCATTGATAATGCTGCATTAGTCTATTTAAGGCACGGCTGAAGTGGTTATTTTTAAAATTGTACATTTTTCCTTTCCATTATTAAGATAAGATGAGCCATAATGCAATTTTCAATACAATTCTGTATAGGGACTAGAAATATCATAAAAGAAGCACCAATGCTCAAGGTATGTGAATCATTTCATTACTTTAAATAACGCACTATATCTCGTTGGCTTCTTTATATTTTTTCTAATAGCTTAAAATAATTTATTATTGCAATAAATTGTAAAGTAAAATGCATTTCAAGTGCTCAGATGGCATACAGCATATTATTAATCACTAAAAATTGTATCAAAAGGAACAAAATTAAAAAAAAAAATTATAATATTTTAAATAACTTTAAATTGTACAGGGCATATTTAAAAATAATAATTAAGTTATTATTACTCATTGACTATTTTTAAATTTATAATTTGTATTGGGCTTATTAAGTTAAATTTTCTCATTATCTACAGTTTTTTTATTTTTTTATTATTGATATTTCTCCTGAAATCACGTTTTAATTTGGAGGAAATAAGGATAATACAAAAAAATTATATTTAAAAAAATAATAATTAATTCTAGAACAAAAATATTAAAACTGAAATTAATTTTGTTGCACAGCTGAACAATTTTGACGGATACAAGCTGAAATTACAAAATATGGGCTCCAATGGGCTCCAGATTTCTTTGCATAAAAATTTTCTCTCTCGAACAGATGCCTAGAATTATATCAAATTTAATTTAAAAATCCTCAATTTAGCACTAGAATAAATCAACAGATGCTATTTCCCATTGAAAACCACCTGCACTACCTTTCCTCGCTGCCAACGCAAATCGTCCCGTTTTGCAAACATCAAACTCTGATTGCATCATGTGGAAAAATGAGATTCAAGCTTGGCCGTGCTGGCGGATCGGCTGTGAAAAGCAATCAAAGCGCGCGCGTCTCTATATCCATCGAATCTATCATTCGAAGCCAATAAGTCGCGTCGCTTTTGCCGTCATCGGAAAAGCAGCCGTGGGCCCTGGTTTTGCGGAGAGACTCAAGTAAAATTTGTTTCCTGTCCGTAACATTTCTGAAACATTTAACTTGTCTTTCCAAAGCCATTCAGAGAGATTTTAAACCTTTCCGAAACCTTTAAGATACCTTTCTAAAGACCGTCAAGAAAACGACCAATTTTCTCTTACTTTGATGAAACCTTTCCCAACCTTTTCTCAAGCCTTTAATATTATATTTTACGTGTTGACAATTTCCCCGTGAATTACGAACCCATTCAGAAGCCATTCCGCAACCATTCAGCTCGTTCGCGTATCTTTGATTTTTTTCTATTTATCTCGCGACCCTGTCCCAAGCCTTTCTGTAGCTTTTCATAGTGCAGCGTGCGTTTGAGCATAATGCAATGACGTCATCAACTGCATGCACCCGCGCCGCTGTGCTAACAAAGCCTCCCGCGGCTTGCAATAATAATAGGAAAGATCCTTTTTTTTTTTGTTAAAATTATTCCATCCCTGGCTGCTTGCTGCTTGGCCCGCGGTCGGGAATGTGTTTACGAGCCCTATGTCGAAAATGCAACGTCGCGCCTCAGCTTTTCTCAAGAAAACTTTAAAGTGCACGGCGGGAGAAGAGCAGTTTGAAGTAAAATATAAAATATTTATTATTAAAAATAACTTCATTTGATCATTGAAGCAATGAAAGTTTGAACTAAGCAAAAATAAAATACGATTTTGCGCGTGTATGCTAATACTAAATAGATTGCATTTAAACATTTTGCTTATAGAAAGTAATTTTACAAAAATAATTATTACAAAATTTAATTAATTATTTTATATTTATCAGTTCTATTACCAGTAATAAATTATAATCTCGGAAAAATCTAACCATTTATATTTCAGGATAATTTTTTCAAATTCCGTTAATTCATACCTGATAAAGAAATAATTAATTAATTCATTTTTAAGTTTTGAGAAAAAATTAAATTGAGGCATTTGCCTTAAAGCTGGCTTTAATTGTCATATTACCTTTCTTTTTTAATTTTAGAAAATACATTGGATTTTTTAAAAATCACCTAAATCGGACTGATAGAACCAGAGATACACATTTTTGCATTCACCAAAAAATAAAATCTCTTTTAGCGCCGACACACACTTGCTGCAAGTGGACCTCCGCTTTCAAGCGTTCCTTACTTTGGCGGCGAAACTTCAGTTTTTGCTAATTATCTCGAGAACGGTTTGATATAATTATGTCAAATTTTCACAAAAGATGCAGTTTTGATCCCTTCAAATAAATATTATGAAATTGTTTTTTTAGATTATTAACAACTTGCTTAATTTCTCAATTTTGCACTTAAATTGCAAAAATGTATTCAAGAAAAAGGTCGCAACTAAGTAATAATTTTTCTGTGAGTCTCGTTAACATATCTAATGAAAGTTATATACTTGAAAGATTCATTCCTCTATCAGGTTAACTACAATAAAATTAGGAATGGCAAAAAACGTGTCTATCACACAAAACTAATGGTTGATAATACTTTGCACGTAATTAACAGAAAAATATGGTTCTACCACTCATCAGTCCAAAATTATAAGATGCAATGCAAGCAAAAGTTTTTATTCTAATATGTGCTAAGGGTTGACCCCTGCACAAGTGACCTTAAACCCTTAAATTAATAAATTTTTATTTTGACAACCACCAAAAGATGCAGTTTTTTATTCTGATTCTTAATATGATATTTTAAAATTTATCAGAGTTCCCAGATTTGCATAATTAATTAAAGAAAATTTGGGTTGTAAGAAAAGGGAGGTTAGGCAGCGCAGTGATAAACTTGTGTTTTGGGCTGCAGCGAGCATCTCTTATTTCTTTATATTTTGGACGACCCGATCCGCTGTGCCTATTGTTAAGTGTTTTGCTGCATGCTTCCTTATGCAGTTCAGGTAATGCACGGCACACACAATAGTCCCCAGGTTGCCACATTTCATCCCCTTTGTGAGCATGCGAGTTTCTCTTCAGTCGCGCTCGGCGGTTGGCCGGTATGGTTTGTTAAACAAGAGATGCTGCCGAAAAAATCTTCAAAATTCGCTATTCGCCCGCTTTATGCACAGCTGAAGAAAACGCCGATTGCCTGTTAAATATTAAGGTGAGTTTTCTTTTGTAATTTAAAGTTTGAATCGAGAAATTCAGAAGAAAATAATTTAAAAAAATGCAATTAAAAAAAGATCACTGCGGCTAATACAACGCGTTTAATTTGTTTTCAGATGAGCAGCAGCCTCCTTAGTACGGCGCCCAGGTACCAACCCTTATAGGCTCTAGCTTCAAAAGTGCGGGGAACAAATATCTAGCAGGTATGTGATTAAAAAACGATTTTAAAATGACTCGAATTAATGTTTGCGTCTCTTTTATGATTTCAGTTGCTGCAAGTGCAAATGATGCGCCCGCTCGGCATAGAAACAGACGCGCGACAATTTGGTTCTCTCATCGGATAAAGGATTTTTAGGCAAGATGACGAGTGAGTTCCATTTGAAATTATTGTGATTTTTTTCTATTTTTTGACAATAAATAGTCACCAAAAACGAATTTCTAAATGTTTTATTCCCTGTGACGTCATGAAATAAATGACGTCACTGTTCACCTGAAAGGCTTCGGAAAGCGCTCTGAAAGGTGTCGCTACAAAAGAATAAAGCGTCGCTATGAAAGCTTACGGAAGGGCTTGTTACAGCGATCGGAATGGTTTCGTAAAGGCTTCCCTCAAAACCTTCCGAAGCCATTAATTTTTCAAAATAATGGCATCTGAAAGGTTTGCGAATGGCTTCAGCTTCCATTTCAACTACATGAAGGGATAAAGGTTTCTTAAAAGATATTGAAAGGTTTCGGAAAGGCTATTTAATGGCACACGATTTTTACTTGAGGAGCTGGGAAAAAGTGGCATTACTCGCTCTGTCTGTGTGATTATCGGCGCAACCTCTCTCGCTCGCTCGCTTTGTGCCACGCTGATGATGACCTGTGGTGCTTTTGAACCGCAATCCGATCGATTTAATCACTGCTCT